GGGGAGGATCCCACGGCAGTGTTCTGCGGGAAGGAGCTGAGGATGGGTCCGGGCAGGGTCACCACCACAGCAGGAGGCTCAATGACAACGGTGGAGTCCTGGCACTGCCTGACACAGGGCTCATTGCAGCTGTTGGCCAGCGGGGTGGGGCCGCAGGGCTGGCAGGGCAGGCACGGGTTGTAGCAGGACATGTCTCGGGGCTGGAGGTGCACCTGGGAGAGAGGGCAGGGGGAAGCAGGGCAGGGGAGATGTGTGAGGAGCAGCCTGTCACCCCACTATGACGGAGCCGAGGCACCTGCTGGGTGAGGAGCTGGATGCTGCTCAGAGGAGGAGAGAAAGGAAGAGGAAGGGCTTCAGACTCACCTGATCCTCAAGGAGAAAGAGGTGAGAGAAGTGGATGAAAGACTGGATGTTTGGGCTGGCTTTTATACTGCTCTAGCACCGCCCCAGGTGTGCAGTCATGCTATATACAGGCGGTAATTTTCCAACAGACTCTGTAATTGAAGACATCCCAGCCAACGGCACAGGCTCTATTTTGGCTTTCCACAGTTCAATGCTTTCATATTGTGGTTTATGCTATGGCCATTTCCCTTTGAGTCTCCTTTCAAGTGCTGAGATGAGACACCCAAGGATTTTCAGGTCAGGAATGCATCATTGCAGGCTGAAGATGTGACCCAGTTGCTGGATAGAAATCCAGTGGAGGCAAGCAACAATGGCTTGAGATTTTCCTGTGGGGTTGTTTGTCACCCTGTTCAAAATAAGGGGTCTGATGGTCACTGTCCTGCTTTCCAGTGAGTGGACTGCACTGCTCATTTTGAATCTCCTTCTCCTGATGCTCTTGCTTTAGGGACAAATCTTCCAGTCTGTTTTGCCATTTCCTCTCTCTGAGCAACATCTCTTGGGGTCTCCAACCAATGCCTTCAGTATATTAGGGTTATTTCTCTGTCCAATCTATGTGCAAACAACATCTGTGTAGTTTCACATATATGCATGCATGCATATATGTTTTCCTACTTGTTTGTCTGTATTCATTCTTGTATCCAATTTGTTTTCTCTAAAATCTAGATATATATGCATGCTTAAGTGTTTGCATGCACACAGGTGTGCATGAGCAGCTGTCTGTGTGTCCCTGCGTACATTTCCTCCTCACAAGGGGATGTGCTGGTAATGGCAGGGGTACTCTCCACTCTTCTGTACGTGAGCACCTCAGAGCAGCAGGTTCCACAGGCCAAAAGGAGGCCAGTGGCAGCTGAACAGCAATGGCACAGAGCTGGCGGAGACCTGCCCTGGGCGCCAGCACTGAAACACAACCCCTATCGCCTGAGCTCTCCTTTTCATGCTCCTCCAAAGCTCACAGTCTGGTACCACAGATTTCAGAGCCTAGCAAGGACATTTTCACACCACTTTGGAAACGCAGTTTAATTCAGTGTATCAACATTCAAAATGTCTTAGCATGACTGTCAGTCACCACTCCCTGCCTCTCCAGCTCAGGATACATCTTCTCCTCCCAGTGTTAAGGAGTTCAAAACAATGGGGTTAGCTTTATGTACAGGGAGAAAACCCAGGAAATCCTGTCCACCTTGTGAAGGGCACTCCTGAGTGAATCTGCTTCTGTTGCAGTGTTAACAGTGTCCGGGATGGGACACAGGCCCCTTGTGTCCAAGTCAAAGCCATGGGCACCTCTGCAGCTAATTAACCTGACACTGAGTCGGGCAGGGGCTGAGACCTTGAGTCACTACCAAACACGAGGACAGATGACTTAGTGTCACTGTGCTTTGAGAGGAAGGACAGACCGTCTAGGCTGCAAAGGAAGAGTCAAAAAGCTGACAACTCATTTGGTCTTCAGCCACACAGAGCTTTTATGTCCCACACTGAAATCCTATTGTGCCAGGAACTGCCTGGGAGTGAAGGATTGTCTGATTCATGGCCACACTCCCCAAACGCTGCTGCTATCCTACGAGGAGTGTCAGGAGAAGAACTCTTTATGTCCCACACTGAAATCCTATTGTGCCAGGAACTGCCTGGGAGTGAAGGATTGTCTGATTCATGGCCACACTCCCCAAACGCTGCTGCTATCCTACGAGGAGTGTCAGGAGAAGAAATCTTTCCCTCAGAGACTGTTGGCAGTGAAAGGAAGAGCACTGCAGGAGAGGGGGAAACGCTCTCCCTATTGAGAACTGCTTCTGCCAGAAAATTCTCCTTTGTGTTTCACCTTGGGCTGTTCCTCTCAGTAACCTTCTTCTCTTCCAGCCAGGCTTTCTATGTCTCTAATCACTGCACAGCGGTGTTTGCTGTTGGGGGATGGGGTGTGCATCAGCAGAGACAAATTCTTTACCTGTGACTGAATCCCCTCTTGCGCCATTCCTCCATGCCCCCTGAACGCTCCTGGGCACATTTCTGCCCACACACCCTTCACCTTGACACAGGCAAGAAGCCTTGGCTTTGGGCTGCTGAGAGGCTCCAAGAGGCAGGCTCTCACTCTGCTGATTCCATTCTCAAGACATTTTATCCAGTCCCTGAGATATGGAAGTGTGTCATCTCTGGGTGCTACAGACACTTAGATGTCCCAGGCTGCGTTGCACACAGCGAGAGAGACCAGAGAGGAGAGGAGGCCAAGAAAGTGGGGAAATTTCTCCTCAAAACAAGCAGTATAAGGAGAAAGAGAGGTGAAATCAGAAGCACAGCCCACCAGCCTTAGGAGTGACTACCACTGTCAGAGTGAGCTGGGATAGAGGGAGAGGGAAGGATGGATCAAGTCCTTGTGCCTGCGAACCTGTGGGTATACAGCTGAGGACTGCAACACTTGGAGTACCTGGGACCATTCCTGAATAAAGAATTGCAAATGAGCCCACCAGGGTACCCCAAGATGGTGTCCCCTGCCTGCGTGGGACCTCTTCAGCACTTGAGTTCTCTCCTCAGCACTGTTGCGTTCCTGCGCCAGAAGTCCTTGAGCCACCCATTCCAGCATTTGGCAGGAGTGTCTCTGGAACAAAGGGCATTTCAGAAATGAGGAAATGAAAAGGAGGCAATGAAGGAAACCAAATTACAAGCTGTGTGATTAGAAAGGGTATTCTCCATTTAAGATGAGTCTGTTGGAAAATTACTGCCTATGCAGAGACAGACTCAGAGCCTGGGGCGGTGCAGGAGAAGTATAAAAGTAAACCCAAAGCCTTGTTCTCTCATCCACTCCTCTTCCCTTGCTCTCCTTGGGAACCAGGTGAGTCTGCAAGCCTTTCTGCTTCTCATCCTTCCCCAGGCTGAGGTCTCACACCAAGAGACACCTCAGCCAATGCCTGCTCCATCATGCCACACCAGGACGTGGAGGTCCTTGTCATCAAAGTAGGAAGGAGGAAGAAGGTCTAGCATGGAGAGAGGCTGGGTCTTGGCTGAGGTGTCTCCTGAGTTATAGGCTGGGTGGGGACCTCCCTGGGCTTGGTCGCTCTTGGCGGGGCACTTCTGGGCTGAGGGGAAGGTGAAGCCCATGGGTATCCCTACAGAAACTCCAGCTCTCTGCCCAGCATGTGCCTTGGGTCCCTTGTAGTGGGGTGACAGGCTGCTTCTCACACATCTCCCTTGCTCTGCTTCCCCCTGCCCTCTCTCCCAGGTGCACCTCCAGCCCCGAGACATGTCCTGCTACAACCCGTGCCTGCCCTGCCAGCCCTGCGGCCCCACCCCGCTGGCCAACAGCTGCAATGAGCCCTGTGTCAGGCAGTGCCAGGACTCCACCGTTGTCATTGAGCCTCCTGCTGTGGTGGTGACCCTGCCCGGACCCATCCTCAGCTCCTTCCCGCAGAACACTGCCGTGGGATCCTCCCC